CTCTGATCTCACTCCCAATACCTTCAACCAACAGTAATATCCCCAAACATGGACAAAAATAAGACATCTAAGAATGAGAAGGGATTTGTCTTAATTCTAAATAACCAACAAAGACCATATGTGTCATGCAAAAATATTAAATCACTGTGTACTTATCTCAATTCCAACCGGCAAGCTACTACGAAAACCAGTAATTGCAATGAAATTATGTGTAGAAACAAGCTTCATACTTTTTAAACATAGAATTTTCCCTTGTTTGTGTATTATCATGCCTCTAATATCTTCTTATCTTGACCTTTGCAATAAAAAATAAATCTAACCTTAACTTCATGATGGTAGACATCTGTAGGTTTGAGCATCACCTTTTAGCAGGATAATGGTAGACATCTGTAGGTTTGAGCATCACATTTCGCTTCTTTCAAATACTTGGTTAACATTTTTCAAATACAAGTTTAACATTTTAATACATGGTCAACATTTTTGTATATACATTTAACATTTTTCAAATGCTTGATTAAAATTTATGATATACTTGTTTAACATTTTTTCAAATACTTGGACTAAATTTTTTAAATACATGTTCAACTTTACACACACATTATATATTTTTTGTAGACATTTTCCGTATACATGAGAAATATTTTCTTTGTACTTATTTAATATTTTTTCAAATGCTTGGTTAACATTCTTTTCAAAACAATTATGTAAATGTTTTCAAATATAATTATTTAGAATATTTTCAAGCATAAACAAAATTAAAATAAAAAACAAAAAATGTGGAAAAAAACGAGGTTGTGCCCCTACCCTCGTGCGCGTGTTTGAGCCGCCCATCTAGCATTGGTCAAAACACGAGGCAATCCTACACATTTAACATTCATCGAACCTTTTTTGCACCTTTTTAGTGATCTTTTTGAATCCATGAACGCTTGGGCCGGCCCAACAGGCGCCTGATGGGTGCAATGACGTCGCCTAGTGCTGGCAATGCCTAAGAGTTTTTTTTAGTTAACTTATTTTTCTCCTTTTTTAACTTTATCTTCCTTTTAGAAACCTGCTTAAAATTTTTGAAATATTTTTTGGAATACCAAAAAATGTTTCAGTTTTAAAATATTGTGTGAAAAAACCTGGGTCCGTTTAGTGGAGGTGAAAAAAAGTGCTTCGAGACTTGTCCTATGGTCGGCTACGGCCGGCCGCGACGGCGCCAGCGCCCGAGGGAGCCGGTTTTCTTCTTGGAGACGTCGGTCGGTCGGGTCTGCCCTACGCCCCTACCTCTTCCCACCTCACCGCTACTCGTTTGAAAACCATAACTGTGGTGGGCGGCGACAACACTCTGTGCGTCGTGTCTTTCTTGAAGGTGTCATCGTCAGAGCATTGTGGTGGTGGGCACCATGTGGTCTCGTTTGCAGCTGCTGATGGCGCGCCCTTCTCCCTCTAGCGGCATCTGCTTCAGCGGAAACCCTAGATCTGGGTGTCCCCGATCGGCTGATGACGGGGACTTTAGTGTTGTTCTCTTTCTTGGGGGCATTATTTTGGAGTAGGTACTAACTAAAGGGGCCAATAGGTGGAACAGTGTTGTATCTACCGCATCGAAGACGACGGGTCTCGACGGCCTGGCATAGTGGAGTCTTGGCATTGGACTCAGGTTGATGGACACGCGTAGGCTGGTGGCGTTATCTGACGTTGTGGCTGGCCGGTGGCGGTTGGGCCGGACAAGGTCAATAGGTTGATCACTCCTGCAGATGTGAAGGTGGAAGATGGCGGCGGCGGATCCAGAGCATGCGCATGATGCGGATCGGCCAGAATGGGTAGTGTGCTCTCTGCCTGACGTCGAGTAGCTGCATGAGACCACCAGATTAGATAGTGCGCATTAATGCGGTTCGGGCACATTATTAAGATTGTAGGTGTTCGACTTTGTTTGTCAGATAGGTGGCTTCGGATTGATCCATATATTTATGTTGCCAGACTTTGTTGAATAATAATAAAGATGTTCTACATCGATTGATGCAAATACTGGGGTTATCCTCCTTTTTTGAAGAAAACAATTTTGAGTTCAAATCAGATTCCATTGAGTTTTTTTAGGGAAGAGACCGTTCTATTAGCAATTTGCCAATTTGACCGAATGCACCGGATTAATAGCAGAGAAAACAAACAAGTTTTTTATAGGGGAGAGAAAACAAACATGTTTTTTAGACAAAGAAAACGAACAAATGAAAGAACATTTTTGTCCACGCCAATTTGACATTGAAAAGCCAGCTTCCCGGCCCACGAGAGCACGACTGACCCACCCGCAGACGCCCAACCAACCATTCCAGAGCCCTAGCCCATCCGACGGCCGCCGCCATGGGTGAGCGCCTCCTTCTATCAGCTCCTCTCCCTGTCCCCCGCCATCTTGCCGGTTTTTGACGGATTCGTGGTTCGCAGGCGCCTACAGGTTCGTGTAGGAGCTATGGAGGAGGAAGTAGGCTTGGATTACCTCTCGGATCCCACCCTCCTCGTGTTTGTTCTTGATGCGACTATCGTTATTCGTCTGTATTTTTTGCTCTGTGCGGCTCTGTTCTTGATACTCTAGCGTGTGAAATGTGACAAAATGGATGGCAGTTTGTTTTGGTGGAGATCTGCACTTGTGCGCCTTAGAGCATCTCCAACCGTTGGCCTCAGGAGGCGCTAAAAATCGCCGTCCGGGGACATGCCGGCGCTAACCGCGTGCTGGGGGCGTGATGCTCCTCAGTCGCCGCGCCCACGTTTTTTAAACAAAATCTGGCATAAACAAGACACAAATTCAACCAAACTTCGGCGAGTTCATAACATATTTAAAATATTTTACAAAAGAAGAAAAAAAACTCTACTAGACCTGCCGTCGCCCTCGCCGCCCGGCGCCCTTGAAGCTCTACATGCCGAGGAGCCTGTAGAACTTCGTGTAGCCGCCGCGTCCTCGTCCTCGTCGTCGCCTCCTCCGCGGCCGTCGTCCCTGCTGCTCCCCTGCCCAGGGTCGCCGACGCACGGCGGGTTGGACAAACCGGGGGCATCCTCGTACTCATCGCTGTCGAGGATCACCACGCCGTTCTCGTCCTCGCGCCCACGCTGGCGGGCGGCTATCTCCTCCAGGGCTCGGCGCTGCCGGACCATCTCGTCACGGAGGTAGTCGTCCCGCACCCACTTTAGGGCGTCCTTGTCGGAGAAGCCGCGCCGGACTATGGCCTCGTACTTCGCGGGGAGGCCGGGCTCCACCTCCGGCCTGACGAGCCGGGTAGAGGTGGGGGAGGGCTCGGTGATGCGGACGCCGGAGCTGCGGGTGCACTGGCTGATCGGCACGTCCTGGGGCTCCGGCTTGACGGGAAGGAGGGAGGGAGAGCCGGACGAGCGGTCGGACGAGGAGGAGGACCCCGGGTCCATGCGTCTCGGCGTCCACGAGCTCCCACGCCGGCGGAAGGAGGGGGAGCGGGGTACTCCAGCCTGGGCGTGTTGCCGCCCTCGATGTACTTGAGGACGGCCTTCAGCGTGCGGCCGGGCTCGCCCCACCATCGGCGGCGGCCGTCGGAGTTGAGCCTTCCGGAGGGCACGACGCCGTTGGTGGCCTTGAGCTGCTCGGTGTGGCGGCGACGGAAGTACTGCTCCCACATCGGGCTGTCGGGGACGTACCTCGGCCCTTCCCTCGCTGTCTACGACAGAGAGGCACGGATATGGGCGATCTCCGCACGACGCACCGCCCCGGTGGGCGGCGGTGGCACCGGGACCCCCCCGGCGCTGATCCTTCATGCCCCGGGCACCAGCATGTCCGGCGGGACCGGGTAATTGGCCTCATAGAGAAGCCGAGCTTCGTCCTCGTGAAGGGGGCGGCGGCCGAAGCCGTTCGCCGCCGTGCTGTTGCCTGGAAAGCGCTCGGCCATTGGGTGAACTAGAAACGGCGAGAAGAGAGGGATGAACGGGGGCGTCGAGGAACAGGGGCGTCGGCGGTGGAGAGTCTGTGCGTCACCGGTGCGGGAGGGGTCGGCTTAGATAGGCGGCGCTCGCGTGGCCGCTGTGTGTACGCGTGGGGGGCGAGGGACGTGCGTCGTCCCGTCTTCACTGCGCCGCCCGTTAGGCATCAATGGAGGAGGCTGACCGACACGGCAGCGCGCGGCAGCTTTGGCATTGACTCCGCCGCGGGAACCGAGGCGATGAGGACGACGAAGCGACGAAAAGAGCTGAGTCGCTGCCAAGTAGGGCCCGCCGATTTTCGCGCAAAAAACGATTCGGCCGGCGCCCCCAAGCACCTCCCAGCGCACCGGGTTCGGCCTGGGTCCGCCGGCGCCAATTTCGCTCCGAGCCGGCGAAAAAAGGGCCTTTGGGGACGCGACTGGAGATGCTCTTATGATGCTACACACACATGCTTCCTGATATTTAGTCATTTTTATAATTCACCCAAAAAAAGCATGAAAAAGTTCATTGAAACCACATGGGCCATTAGCACCTGATAACAATTTTCATTTGTGGGAACTTTTTAAACAACATAGCTCATACAGACGTTTTGCAAATTAAATTAGTATGATCAATCATTGTAGCAACATGGAGACGATTGGGTGCAATCTTCATGCAATCCGCTACCAAAAATTACAAAAACTTCCAAAACAAATGTACGACATATAACTCTGGACTTGTTCCGTCTGTGATTAAAATCGAAGTTTAAACACAGCCTCTGTTATGAGTGAGGGAAAAGTGAGTTCTGACAGGATTTTCAGGATAATCCCTGATGATATTTGTCTTACTCCTCCACAGGTTGTATTTAGACTTAATTTTTCAAAGATTCTAGATTTTCTCATGGCTTCTGGTAGTGGATTAACTCACTACATATATCTCGCCAAGTGAAATAGTATTAGAAAAAGGCTAGAAGTCTTATTACTGAGAAGAAAAGTAGATAACTCGTTTGATACTTCTTTTCTTGTGATTAATAATATCAAGTTTGTTCATCATTGTAGCTTCACAAGCCTATTGAGGAGACCAAGGAAGATATATACCCAAGGAGGATGCACTCCCAGAACTTGCCTGCCAAGATATGCATGGTAATGAAATCTTTCAGTAACCCCAAAAAGAACAATTTGAAGGGGCTTGAGCCTTACACACACAAGATTGGGTTGCCTGAATCACGAGCCTTATGCACTGTGTTACGATCACCTCATATTGATAAGAAATCCAGCGAGCAGTTCTCGACATATGTGAATAAGGTATTTGTGGTTAAAAAGGCAGAGACACGTGAATTGGCCAGGAAGTTCTTTTGGTTGAAACGGCTTCGTGTATCGGGGGCTCAATATGAAATCAATATTAGTTTGAAGACCCGCTTGGATAAAATGATTGGCTGCAGCAAAGGTGGTGACCTTCTTCGACAGTGGTTCTAAACCAAAACAGGAGGCAAGCATGGGAAAAAGGAGGTAATAACAAGATAATGAAATGTTTCTCTTGGGCAATTGAATTATCTCTTAATTGGAATAAATCATAGGTTGGTTAACCGATGAATTAATTGGTTTTTGCTTGTTGGCTGATTTCTTGTGTTGCAGGTACTAGGCTTAAGGTGATCCGAGCCGGAGGTTACAAACTATCCAACTTTTGTGGATCTTAATTTCTGATCCTGGTTATATCTATCATGGATGCAACCATGTATATATTCTGGAGATGATGCTGATCAATAATGTGGATTCAAGACATCATTGATTCTTGTGTAATCTGATTATAATAACATGCTACTATCCTCTTAATCTGGTTTAGCCAGAATATATGAGCTAAAATGAATGTGTGAATGCATGGGAAATTAAGTAACAGAATCTGACTACTATATGTGGGTGAGAATTGATTCACCCATAGTTGGCTAATGGCAATTGCATATGTGATTGACAGTCTGCTATGGTAAGTAGTTGATGTATTGTATGCTTGAGCACTTCTTTGTGTGGTCCATGTCATTTATGTAGTCTTGTTCATAGTGTAGAGATAAGGCTGATAACAATGTTACATACTGGATGTATCAGCCGTTTGAGCCACAGTTAATATGGGACGGACGGGGTACATCTGTAATTCTAGTATATCACTTGGTATTAAATATGGAGCAACATAAAAGGCCAACCAAGCAGTGCGATTTGCTCCAGTCATTCACACATGAG